AGGAAACGGTCCACACGGCCTTAAACTCATAGTGTATATAATACATAATAAGCATTCTGCTACACTCTTATTTGCAGAGATTTTTCAGGTCAAAAATGCAAGGATCATTCAAATTTTTTTCCTCTAAGAATAATCATGTTATCGAAAAATTGAAAATGTGATAAAGAAACTTCTATTTCAACATCTCATCAACATTAAAGAGAGAATTAGGGAATATTCTGCCTTTGTGCATATCTATGTGTAGAAAAGTGATTTTCACCTTCGAATCACTTCTTGATGTTTTCTCCAGGACTTTCTCATATACGATCTAACCTCGTCCTAAACAGTTTTTCAGCCTACATTTTTATCCATCACACTGTATGGAATGTAACCAATGTCAATCCAGCAGAAAAATGTTGAAACAACCAGTGGCGTGCTAATTTTCATGAAAAAGAACATGTAACCACTGTAACGAGCTATGGATTCCTGTACCTGTGACTATTTTTGACTCATCGTATATGAAACACGTGTGTTTAGATAGAAATAATGTGTGCAAAATTGGAAGGGGGCCATTCTTCTATTTCCTTTGATATGTGATAATAGTTTTTTTCTGATCGAAGTTCAACATACTGTATACCTTTTCAAGAAGTATGATGCATTATTGAAGATATGTTCATTGCCAAAAGTCTCATTATCTTGTGAAATCTTTCTACCAATTAAAATGAATGTTTACAGTATGTCCAAAACGTTCAACTACTCTCTGATGGTAAAGCGATGAACATGAAGTATATGCGTACAAATTTTCATCATTACATTCATCTTCAACAAGAGTAAGAGCTTTTGCGCAATGTTAAATATGCTTTTTTTCAAATCATGGTAGGGATTCGATCGAGCATGTGTAAAATATCAGCAAGAATTTGATATTGGGGCAGAAACGATCGATGCCACCCCGTCAAAAAATGATAGTAAACTCATTTTACTTGGTTCTTTGGGATTTTCTCTCCTCGTTTCTATAAAATAAAAGTATTCGTATTATTTCAATATATTTGTAGAGGGACAAATCAGATGATTTGCCCCAAAATGTCACTGCGTTTAACAAATTTTTCTATCAGGGAGTCTAAAAGAAAAATCCAGTAGCTTGTCAGTGACAATTTGTTTGAAAAAATTTTTGAAGGAAAGAAATATAGATATATTGAAAAAATATCGAATTTGTACTTATCTTTGGACGTTTCGGGACCGATTCTGATTTGTCCCTCTACAAATATATTGAAATAATACGAATACTTTTATTGTATAGAAACGAGGAGAGAAAATCCCAAAGAACCAAGTAAAATGAATGTACCATCTCCTCGATTAACCTACAGACAGTATTTGATAGTAAACTGTTGGTGACTAGTTCATTTCGCTTTCAAAAACGAACCAGTTCAATTCGAGACATAAATCAAAAAATCAAAATGTATATACCAAAGGAACGATTCTTATCGATAATGTGCATTTTGAAAGAATTTGACAATGCAATTTTTCCACATGGTGTTTTGAAATTAGTGATCCACAAATACCTCTTTTTTATCGCTTGGAGCGCACGAAAGGAAATCCCTTTAATGTTCAAAGAACATCGTGCGTTCCCAGGGAGGATAGGGATAGGAGGTAGGTATTGGAATTTTTCTTGAACTTCTGGAGATTATATGTTGTTGGGAATACTTCCCCAGGCAATGAATTCCAGAGCCTAGCCGTTCTATGGATGAAGGAGTTTTGATAAAGTGCTGTTCGACATCTTTCGACAACGTAAGGATGTGCTAACTGGGCTTGTCTAGTTCGTCTGACTGGTATTGCTAGTGATCGGATGATAGCAGAGATTTCTGAAGAACAGTTCTCGTGAAAGTATCGATAGAAAAGTGAAAGGTCGTCGACCTTTCTACGGAGTTCCAATGATGTCAAAGAGTGAGTGAGTGTGGCGTTACCCACCAGGCAAATGGCTCTCCTCTGGATGGAATCTTAGAGCATCAGCGTATGTTTTGGTGCTGAACCCCATATGTGGGAACAGTATTCTAGAACAGGCCGTATCTGCGCTTTGTAGATCATGAGAAGCTGTTGAGCTGTAAAGTAGCTTTTCGCACGAAACAAGAATCCGAGTTTTGTGAAGCAGCTCTTGCGATGGATCTGACATGATTATCCCATGAAAAAGTGTTGCTGATGGAAATACCGAGCATACATATGGTGGGCTTCGTGGGGATGGTGGTGCCAGACATTACGATATCGGGCAAACTGATGAGTTCCGCCTTTCTAGAGAAAATACAGGCTTGGGTTTTGGTGGCGTTGAATTCAACTAGGTTATTGGTTCCCCAGGCTGTGATTTCAGCAAGGTCTTCATTGACAGCATTGACCTGCCTGCGCCGTGAGTTCAAAGTTTTCTGGGAAGAAATGGGAATTCTGGAAGAGAACACAGTATGGAGGGTACTATCTTCTGCAAAGCTGTGCATGGGGCCAGTTGTTACTCCCAACAGATCATTGATATGAAGAAGGAATAATGTTGGTGCCAAAATTGATTCTTGTGGAACGCCGGAATTGATGCCGATGATATCAGACGATACACCGTCCACCATCACGTGAAGCGATCTGCCAGAAAGAAAACTCGATAAGAGATGACAAAGCTGAGGTGTGGAGTGGAGGAATCGTTCGTGCCAAAGACGGTCGAATGCTTTCGATATGTCCAACGCGACAGCTAGAGATTCCCCGTGTTTTTCTAATGAAGCTTGCCATAAATAGGTGACGTAGGCAAGTAGATCTCCAGTAGATCTTCGGTGGCGAAAGCCGTTTTGTCTATCATCGATGATTCCTGAGCTCTCCAGATATTTGATAAGCTCAATATTGATGGCTTTCTCCATCACTTTGGAGATGCACATTTTTGAGGATAATGGGTGGAATTTCATCAGGACCGTTAGCCTTATTCATTTTGAGACAAAGCAAAATTCGTCTGATAGTGCGTTGACAGAAGACGATTTCGGGCATTCGACTCTCAACGGGTGGAATGTCTGGCGGCACTTTTCCTTGAGAATCTGGAGTAGAGTTTGCTGCGAACATCTCTGCAAAACTATTTGCTATCTCCTGCCATGTTGTTGCTAATGTGCCGTCGGATTTGAACAGTGGTGGAAATGAACTATTAGTGAAATGTAACACTGTATAATGTCTAATACGCTAGAATTTGACAAAATACTGGATGGACAAGTTGAGATTAACCATTTCAGCTATTCTCTGTTTGCTGTGAAAATTATGAGATTTGAATCAAAATTTGAAAAAGTATGAATTTGACCAATTATCAACACGTTGAGTTTTTTGCATCTTTATATTATTATAACATTGTGAAAGCTCTTAGTTGGGTTTTATCAGTGAAAATCGATCTTTAATTGCTGAAAATTATCTTGTGATTTGTCAATTCCATCGCTGTTATATCTGATGAAGAACCAGAATGGATAATAGAGCCCAATTCCCCAAACAATTATACACAAGTAATCATGTTTAGTTTCGGGATGATGAAATTTACTCAAACAAAGGTAGCGAAATACGCGAAATGTAGAACTCGGTATTTGAACAAGGTAAAGACAAACCCCCGTTGATTTGTGGCACCCCTGAGAATATCTCACTCCTCCATTGATACTCTGGGTATGCGAGAGTATGATAATTCACTTTTGAATAATGCCCTCTAGCGTTGCATGAACTGTTTAATGAACTTTCTTCGGCCCTCTAGACAATTTTCTAAGTGATTTACACAACGTGTCCTATACCGAATCCGAATAATTCAACAGGTTCGCAGATAACAAGAGAATTGTTGTTTATGTTTATATCAATTGAGATTCATTCCAATTTCTCTGTATCTGTTGCCTCTATTGGCCTACTTCAAAGTATTCATGCTTGATGAAATACAGTTCAGTTGATTCAGGATGGTGTATTCAAGGTCAATTGATAAAAACATCTTCTTACTCACTTGTTTGTATCAACTCGTCTGTCACTGAGAAATGTCTCGACTATTTTTTTGAAAAATGTATCTATGATTTAAATTATCTCTTGGTATTTTGTTCATTCCGAACATAAGATCATAGTGGTAATCATGTATTCTTGTTCTGATAATAACTTTTGAATTATTTCTGGATTGTATTCCTTGACTTAGTTCACAAGATGTCATTACTCCTTTCCCCTTTCGCGGAAACCCTGACTTACAGAATTTTGAATAATCGGCATATTTCGGTGATTGTTTGGTTATCGTACGTTGATATTTAGACACCAACAATGCTTGTGGCTCCGACGGAATCCCACCGATTGTTCTCAAGAAATGTGCTCCCGAACTAACACCTGTTCTCTGCAAGTTGTTCAACTACTCTTACAAATTGGGGATATTCCCGTCCAACTGGAAAATTGCAAGAGTACAACCAGTTCCTAAAAAAGGCAAAAAGACCATACGTAGCAACTTCAGACCGATCGCACTGCTATCTATTATTTCGAAGATCATGCAGAAAGTGAGTAGAGATACGGGGGTGCTTCCATAAAAAATGCGACAAAATTTCATTTTTCCGAACTGAAAATTTTACAGGAAAAATTTGAATAGTCAGTAAATTGGGCGTCCTGATTCCAAATCTGAAGTGATTTTTGACCTATTTTGACTCCTAATATCATTTTCCGGAAATTGGGATAGTTTCATTGCTGTTGGCAAGCGATGTATATCACTGAAGATGACCCCACTTGGTCATAGAGTGCTTTTTTGGTATATCTCTCGCTCCAGCAAATTTCAGGATCCTTACCCAACGATTACGTAAGATACAGGGGTGGTTCCATTAGAAGTGGGCCACACTGTATATATCAATTTTTCTTTGGTATATCTGAGAATATTCTTTTTAATAATTTGATTTGATTTGATTCCTATACGTTCACGTTCATGACAGCACTTCGACTCTCTATTATCATCATACCTTTTGTGGAGACGCCGGTATAGCTGAATACTTGGAAACAGGCGTTTGGGAGTAAGCGACCGCTTGTGCTTGGGGCGCCTGCTGCGACTTGGTGTACGCAGGACCAGGCGAGGCGTAGAGGGAGGTGCCGCCTGCAACGCCGCGTTTGGATTTTGCTGCGCTTTCTTTGGCTGCAGCCAGCGTGGAAAAGGTCAAAACTGCGAACTGAAAAAAGGCTCGTTGATTTTCATATTCGAGTGCGGGAAATTTGAAATCGTGTTTTGAAACTAGTGAAGCGAACCTACTACGAAAAACGAAATTTTCCGGATATTGTTTACTCGACACTCGACAGTCTCCACATGATCATATTTGAAGTCAATTGCATGTCTACTAAAATTGAAATTTTGAAAGCGATAGGAAGACTGTACGCAATAACCAATTCTTGAAAACAAGTTTATATCTCAAGAATATGTCTAGTCAATGAAGAAATCAAAACTAACTGAATTGAACTAGAGAATTCTACAGGCGGGTCAGAGAAAATGTGCAAGAATTTGAAAATGGCACATTAAATAGCAAACACTCTTTATGTGAAATACTATTCCAATCGAAATTTGCAGTGGTATCTGAATTAGGTATTGTTTCTTTTGATCTTCTTCCATGTGAAAGATAATCATCACATCATTTTGCAATACTTTGAATGCTTTGATAACCGTTCAAAAGAATGACAAATCGCGAAAACATTTTTTTCAAACATCCAGTTTTTATATTTCATTCTGAAATGTATGTAATTTCCTTATCATGCACAAATAAATATTCATTGAATATGTTATCTTCTTCGCATTTCTGAGTAAGTTATTCCAATGCATTTGCATACCAACTCGAGAGAACAAAGATGACCAAAAAGTTCATTTCTCTTATCGAAATATAGTTTGAAACAGGTAATTCAGTGCTGGAGATAGGTAAATGAAAAAATTCATTATATATACTGGTGTACAGAAGATTTTTTTCCAAACCGACCATTGTTTGAAATGCAAGCGAGGCGTGAATATAGTATTCCGCCCAGTTGTTCATATTATTTTTTCCACTGCTATAGCCACTACACAACCCAGCAAATACGACATTGTGCCCACGCTTCAATTATTATTTCGTCAGACTAGCTCCCGATATGAACAATTGAATGCGATTTCGGACCTTGGAGTTCTCATATTCGATGATAGATGGCGTGAACGATGGAAACTTTCTTGAGAACTTGCAATTTGCGTTTCGAATCTCATTATGAAGTTAAACTAGACTTTCAAGGATGTATTTTCCTTTTTTGGGACCTGGAGAGTCCCGTCGATGATGCACGAATTCAATAATAGCTGATAAGAAGCATCTATAGACTGGACGCAGAAGAGACAGGGTGCAACAAATAATCCGTGCGGAAACATCTTGATCTTGACATATCTGTCACGACTGTCATGTTTTCTGCAAATTCAAGATTTTGTTCGAATTTCAAATAGAAATATTATAAATTAGGAGCATTAGTAGTTTATTAAGCTGGTATTGATATTATATTATTAGTTGAATGAGTGTATTGTGCTTTCATCATGGACTGACTGCTGCAATAAGTGAAGATTATTTGATAATCCGTAACATTCGTTTCATTTCATCCACCAAAAGTGAGGAAATAAACTATTATCACATGATTTTCTTGAGTTAGGATTTCGTGTCGTTCATGAATTCACCATTGAAAGTCGAAAATATGACGCACCGTTCCCATCTGAACAAAACATTGTGAAACTGAAAATGTGAACTTAAATGAATGTGTCATGATGCCTGTTAATTTAGTTTGAAACTTTGGAAATTGAGCAAGAATCTCCCACGCCTCGCTATTTTCACAAAGTAGACGACATCGAGAGATTTCTAAAGTCCTTTCAATAGGAAGTGATAACACCATTTGACTTTCTTTACATCTATGCCCATAGATTTGATCGATGGCATACTGCTGGCACCATTTTTCGGTGATGAAAAAGTACATGTTCAGTACTGTTTCAATCATATTATGATACGTATGTTGCACTTGCATTGTGCTGGTACAATAATGTTTTCCTATGGATCAGAATAACACTATTTTTACGGCATTGAGGAATCAATGGGTATAATCCATTTCACGAAGATGACTGGAATAACACTAGTTGAACTGTGGATTGAGGTTATATGTTTCTCTAGTCATCAAGTCATCAATGAAATGACAATGGACCATCAGCCTATGAGATGCATTTTATTGACAGCATTTCTTCGACAATCAAGAATCGATGTGTTTTCACTAGGTCTTCCATTTTGTTTTTCTATCCTTCTGCGCATGAGCCGTCATTCGTTAGATGTGAAGTGAAGTGAACAAGTGAATGAACAGAAAGTTGTCAGAGTGCATTATCATACAATCTCATCAAATCGAAATAAAGAATTCAGTTGTATATAAACTGATATTCTTCTTCTGGAAAATCCATCGTGATATGTTATAAACTTGAGTCTTTGCTTTTACCTGATGACTGTTTGTTGCAGCAGGTTAGGTAATATATGCAGCTATGATTTATATTTTGGAATTCACAAATGGTTTATTCCAGATAGCAAAGAAGAAAAGTGCTCAAGTTATATAACTGGATATACATGAAGTTTCAATGTAAGGTAGGCGCGGGTAATAAGGCCTGTCGGCTAATAAGGCCTAAATGATGAAAATTCAATTTAAAATTGTCGGTGTCGGTCAAGGTCACACTAACAGGTCGCTAACTATCATAGATGACGCCTGAAATCTGCCGCGATGTGTTTGGTCGCTAAGGGCGACCAGTGCGGTGTCATTCGTTAGGAGTAGTAGTCGTGTGGTTCGAATAATAAGAATTCGTCCAAATCAATCGTACGTATTTTTTGAAATATTACACTTATTGATATAATTCTGCGTTATAGTTTTCTATTATGTCATGGTTCTGCGATCTTTGATGTTTGAATAATATATCAAGGTCCGAATAATGTTTTTTTCAGATTTCCTTTACACACGTTGTTGGAGGTTATTAAGGCCTACCAATAGAAGAATTAAAAAGACCTCAACCCCCAAAAGTAGAAGTGGTACTGAACAGAACCAGGCGAGTTGGTACTGTCATGTTTGTGAGGAGGAATGGCTGACATGAGACAATGTTCTAAATGCATCAAGTGGTATCACGAGGAGTGCGTCGGTTTGTCAGCGGATGATACAGATAATTTTGAGTGTCCTGAGGGTTGTTAAACAAATAAATTTGTTGTTATTTTCAAGACCTCAGCATGATCAATGCATGATTATCAATTATCGATCTCACTTACCAAATGTTAGGAGCCTGTTTTTATTTCTTATGCATATTACAGTCATAGGCCTTATTATCCTACTATAGTATAATAAGGCCTACTGACAAGGTTTTTAAAAATGTTCAATCATGTTTTTATTTATGACACACGTTGCCCTGTTCTGTTTATTTTTGACAGGACCTGATCTTATAAGGTTTAATTAACATTAAAATTCGTTGATTTTGTTGAATAGTTTCCATTTTATTTCAAATCCCCCTTAGCTAGGCCTTATTACCCGCACCTACCTTAGTAATTATTATTATTATCATTATTATTATCAGTGAAATAATATTTCGTATACGTAGCCTCGAAATTCTCTCTGTATGAATTAACCACTCGATTTTCATTGAGAATGCACTGAAAATACGTCAGTCAGTCATCACTGGGCCAACAATAAACAAACGAAAGATTGAAGGACTGATCCGCCAATATTGACGTTAAGTCGGCCAATGGGCAACTCTGGTGATTTACCATTGAAAAATGCCAATATTCAGCCAATGATAGTCCACTGGGCTGACATTGGTGAAAAAGTGATCGCTTATGTATTAATGTTCGCTAGAAACGGTTTTTTCGACCTGAAGTCTTCAAATTTTGTGAATAATCATTGATGTCATCAAAAATCGTTGAGAGCTGTCATTCGAAATTATAATCAATACTAAAGCTTCTCAGATAAAACATATGATATCTATTGTTCTTATTATTTACAAAGTATAGGACTGTTAATTCAATAATTGATAATAGTTAACAAAAACGATTATCTCAGGTCGAAGAATCATAGTGGTGTGTTGTTTATCCATAAAGGGAAATGACATTTCGATTAAATATAACAGCTACAACAATGTAATTTGCGAAAATTCAGGATATTTTCTACAAGAGCTTCCTCTGAAATCTCGAAAGGAGGAAAGATCTTACATTCAGATAATAGTTGTTTATTGATGGTAAATGAGATTCCAAGTCTGTTCTTCAAGGTGTAATCATCAAGCACGATTTCACGAGAAATTCATAACATAAACATGTGTCAAATAATGCTCAGAGATACTTCTCAATACAATCAGTTATGAAATTATTTTGATATTTTCAATATCCGCTTTGTTTTGTCGGCGAAAAAAATACTTTTTGTGCATTCAGAAGACCTTTCGAGGATGATGAGTTTAGGGAGACATCGACATACTCACGTTGACAAGGTCACTATGCTATACCATAATATAAGAATTAACAACACCAATAATACAGTTCCTTCACAAACGTAAAGTATAAATCCAAGTACCATTAACCGTTCTGAAATTGATAATATAGTAAGGAATTTCTCCTTGAGAAAGTTATGAGCTATTCCACTCAGGAAATAAACCATCCACAATAAAATAATGCAAACGGACATTAAACACTTTATGCACTTTACCGCCCGGTTTTGCGGGTGTTAAGTCGCACTTTACCGCCTGCGGGCTCATTATGGCCCACGGGCCGTAAAGTGAACTTGACCGCCCGCTTTTCTCAGTCTCCTTATATCCACATATCAATTCATGAAAAACCTATTATCATATCCCTAGATTCTAATATATCCAGCGGTATATCATAAACTTCTTCTTTATCCGATTCCATAGTCTCGCTATAATAATTTCTATTCTGTACTATATAGTATTTTAGACCTATATGTACCGGTCAGACAAAATTTCATCAGAAAATATCCTCCCTGGTTCTCCAGGGAGATAATATATGAAATCAAAGAGAAAAACAAAGTTTTCCATAAATTAAAATCAACAAACTCTGAAGTTTTGAGAGAAAATTTTAAAATTCTCAGACGTTCCATAAAGTCGAAGATTAAAATAGCATATAAAAATTATATAAAAATCTCGGAGGAATCTATCAGGTCGGATCCCTCAAAGTTTTGGTCATTTATTCACAGCAAAAAGGGGACTTCTAGAATTCCTGGTATACTCTATTCAAATGATACCGAATATAATGATCCTTCAAAAATTGTTAATGCCTTTGCAGATTTCTTTGGTAGTGTTTATGCGTTACCGAGTGGTGATGGGAAAACTGCTGGAAACTCCCTATTAAATAGCTTACAAGTGTCTGTAAGAGCCATTAGTGAAGAGGAAGTTATCAAGGTATTGAAAAACATGAAGGCAAAACACACTAGCGGATTTGACAACATTCCAAGCTTTTTCCTGAAAGACTGTGCATATGTTTTAGCCAAACCTATACAAATTATATTTAATCTTGCTTTGGAGTCATCTACATTTCCAAATAAATGGAAAACATCTAAAATTTGCCCGATTTTCAAAACAGGTTCAATTAATGAAATTACAAACTATAGGCCAATCACCTTATTGTCAAACTTCGCAAAGGCCTTCGAAATCTGCATATACAATAGATTGTTTCCCAAACTGAGTAATAAAATAGCTCTAGAGCAACATGGTTTCATAACAAAAAGATCAACCATAACAAATTTAATGTGTTTCACGCAATTTGTTTCCAATGCCATTGACGCACATTCCCAAGTCGATACAATATACACGGACTTCTCAAAGGCCTTTGACAAGATGGATCACACAATACTCTTATCTAAACTGAAAACTTCAGGTTTCGATGATGATTTGTTGAATTTTTTCCACTCTTATCTAACAGATCGCTCTCTATATGTTGAATATAGGGGACACAAATCACCTTCTTTTATTGCCACTAGTGGAGCACCCCAAGGCAGTAACTTGGCTCCA